TAACAATAATGATAGAAATTTAGCTTTATACAGCTAAACTAGATCTTAGATTTGGGTGCATAGATTGAAAGCACCTTGTATTGAATCTACCCAGATCTAGATATAACCCTATATTTTTGGCGCTATATCCTAGGGGAGGGCATAATTATTAATTAACGGGCATTATAGGCCAGAGGAATTTTTGCACCCTTCACACCTGTGCCCGGGGGCAACTGCCCCCCTTGACCCCCTCTTGCTACGCCACTGAAATGACTAATGGGAATTAGCTGCAAAATTTAAAAGAAAGTACAAAAACACGTTTCCATAAAACTTGTGCAAAGCTATTAAACTTGTAACAAGTGAATCAATGTTGTATTATCACTGCTCATCCATAGGGAGGTCTTTCAAACAATAACTTAGCCTACCAAACACAAAATTATCAGGCCTAAAGAGTTGTCCAAATGGTCCTGATCTTACAGAATCCATGGTCCCTGGCTCCAGATCCACAAGAACTGCACGGGGAACATACTTTCCTCCTTTTAATATAGAAAAAAAAGGAACTAATGAACAAAAATACTGAGATTAAATGTATGTTGTGATACATAAAGTGAGAGCCTAGACTTAAAAGAGTATATCTACAAATATATTTTTGCATCTAATAGTCCATTCACGGAATTAATTCATGGATTGTAAAAATCACAAGTCTACTTAAGTTAATGTATCTTTCATGAGCATTTAAATTTAGTTTAATATTTTTCATCATTAGATGGTTATTCTACTTAACAAAAGCAAATTTCCAAGATCTTATATTTATTCAGTAGCTTACGTCCACCAAAAGTTAAGCAAGAGTACTTTTTCAAAATAATTTTTCTTCTTCTTTTGCACAGAATTTTTATTATTTAACTTATAAAGATCAATAATTATGAAAGACTATTGTTTTTTATATTATTTATTGATAAAAAAAAGCATTTCTTAACAAACTTGGTTATGAACACTTTCTATTGTGTTTCACTATTTGGAATGAAATCATCTGAAAAAAGTAGCCTTAAAAATATATATATAGGCAAGGCTTATATTAGTCGAGGCATTATGGGAAATGTTTTGTGATCCTGATACCTTAATAAATTTTTTAAAGTAATGGCCAATTAAGAGATAATTACTGAGCGATAGTTGGTTGTTGTTGTTTGCAATTAAGCACAAAGCTACACAATGGGCTATCTGTGCTCTGCTCACCATGGGTATCAAAACCCGGATTCTAGCACTGTAAGTCCGTAGACATACCGCTGTGCCACTGGGGGGCCTGAGCGACAGAAAGGATGTGACATTAGAAAAATGTGTAAGTTGGTAAATCAATGTTTAAGTTTCCATCTTTGGCTTTCTAACATAGCCACTGTTAAATAATAAAATCACTGCACATTCATTAACCCCACCCTCTTTTTTTTTTAATCTTATTTCTTACATTACATTTCTGGTTTATTTTCATGTAATTACCAGCAAGCTAAATTCACACCCTTACCAGTAGCTTCATTGTAATACACATTAATCCTTTCTAGCTGCAAGTCTGAATCACCATGGTATGTACCAGTTGGATCGATCCCATGTTCATCAGAAATAACTTCCCAGAACTGAAAACAGAGAGGTAAAATTCAGGATTTGAAACCAGATTCATTTAAGTTATTACCCTCTTCCCGGATAGGTAACTACAATCGAGTCCGTGTGTCTGTCTGTTTTGCCCGTGTTTCCGGGAGCATATCTTGAAAACTAATAGATCGATATGTACACAAATTTTACATAAGATGGAAAGTCAGTATGGGACAGTCCACTCCAAATTTAGTCCAAATAAAGATCTGGATAACTTTGAAGCATTTTTATAATGGGGAGATACGCATTTTCGTGATTTGGGGTTAATAACTCTGTAAAGTGTGATCAGATATTCATGGGCATATTAAGATTGAGACTCCTCATCACACTACAAAAAATGATCCGATTCATTCATCATTCTGGATCTGAGAAGGATTTTCTGAGTTTTCAAAGGTGAAGTTTGATATTATTCAATATAAACACATGCAATCTCGAAAAGAAAAGCCGGTGCAAGGGGGTGCGATCTCTCTGATTGCTGTTTTATTACTATAGGTATGGTAGATAAATAAATATACAAGTATCCAAAAAAAAATTTGTCACAATTGCTTTTTATTTTGATCTACAGGTTTTGCCATTTTTATTACATAAAATATATAATACACCATACTTCCAAGAAGTCATTAGTTAGGTCTGTGATTATATTCTGTAGTTCTTTAAGTACTGTACAAACAGAAAAGTAAAAAAAAAGAAACAATGTCATCAACACACGTGGTATCATGCACTTCATTAAACAGATATTTTTGGCCATCTTTATCATGAAACAAATTTTAAAAATGAAAAAAAAAATTAATGTCATGATTTCACAACTGTAATTTTTTAATTTTTAAAATGGTTGCACCAATCTCTCAACTAGAACTTGGTATTGCAAAATTGAGGTTGCAATGAAAAATAAAAATGATGAAAGAAACATGAGACTACCAACTCTCAAAGACAGTTTTTAATTTACAAACTGCCAAAGGATCTACAGTAGGTCAACATAAACTTATAGAATCAGTCAAGATATCTGATAAAATCAGTGAACTGAGACATGTAAATATTGATAAAGAGGTAACACAAAAATGTTGATGTAAGAAGTTTATCAATAGCTTTGTACTTGATCTGTCTTTTTTTTTTCTATACTTACAATAACCAGTACTTTAAGTGAGGTGAGATTCCATCCCACTTTGTTTCAGAATGGCCCAAACCATCCCACTATATCTTAGTAAACTGTAAGCTTCTTAGAAGGGAAAGGTTCAAGAAATAATGCAATAAATACTTACAACAGAAGGGACTGAGGAGAGAAACTATATTATATATATATATTTTTATCTTTCTTAAAATGTTGTGTAAGAGTAAGGCAGAAATGAGAAAAAGTAGTACACAGATGGAGTGAAAGAACCCTCTCACTACAGACTTGGTCAGCGTGATAAAGTTCATAACCACGTAATCAGTTTCCATACTACATCTCATAACAGTATACATCTGTTTATATTTAATTTTATTGTCTTTTGAAATGTGTCTAACTAATAATCCCACCACACAAGTTATAAATCACTTGCTGAATGTACATCCAACCTGACAAGTTTCTAATTTTTATATTTTACTTACTTTTATAACAATGAATAAAGAATACACATGAAAAACAAAACAAGAAATATAGTACTCTGCTTCAAAAATTTCACAAACTATCCTTCTTCCTCTTTCCCTCACTGCAAGAATTACTAATAAACAATTTATAAAGGCAAGTGCTTAAAGCAGTAATGGCTACTCAAAGAAAGACAAAAGCTCTTTAAAGCCATGGAAATTACTTTGAATTCCAGTAAAAATTGCTTATATATTGCACTATGACAGGGTTGGATCACATCTTCTATAGAATTACATCCTAGTTAGTCTGAATCAGAGATTCAAAAATAACCATAAGGTGAATGAAAATATCAAGAATAGTCATATTAAGGAGGATTAGAGTAGGATTTAAAGTTAGAATTAAGAACTTACACAACCAGAAGTCTAAAAATCACTGTTCTAATACAAGAAAATCATTACTGGAAATTAAACAAATCTTGTTTTATTGATTGATCAAATATGATTATTGTGTAAATTAGATGCTGGATCTGATCACTTTATGACTGACAATAGTAACACAAAACAAACATGTCCTAAATAAGCAGGTGATCTCCAATTAAACCAGAAGTGCAAAATTCTGATATTTACTAGCATAAGCTAGTTGTCCAAGTATGAAAATAGCCTATCAGTGAAGAAACAAAGGCAGTAAATTCACAATCGTATTATAGTATATGAAGTATATTTGTGTTCCCTAGTCCTACTATTATTACTATTGAATATAAAAAAGATGATGCATCAACACTATCAATTCCTTTTACAATCTTAAATATCTCAATCAGATCCTCTCTAACTCTTTTTTATTTACATGAGAAAACAATTTCAAAGATCTTAATCTCTTCTTATATGATAACCCCTCCATCCCAAGCACCATTCTAGTAACCCTCCTCTGAACCCTATCCAACAATTCAATGTCCTTCCTAAGGTAAGGAGCCCAGTGACCTGTACAATAAAATTATAACCTCTTTACACTTATATTCAATATTTCTGTAGATACAATCTAAAATCCTATTTGCCCTACCACTACTAACAGCACACTGTTTGGATGGCTTTAAAGACTGATCAACCATTATACCAAGATTCCTTTCTTTCACAACACTGTTAAGGTTATTCCCATCCAAATTATACTTATAATTCAAATTATGATAACCCACATACAATATCTTACATTTATAATAATTAAGACACATCTGCCATTTATTCACCCAACTCACTAAATGATCTAAATCCTTTTGTAAAGCAGCAACATCCTCTTCACAGCTATCAACACCCAAGATCTTAATATCATCAGCAAATATAAGTAACTTATTGATCATTCCTTCATCTATGTCATTGATGTAAATCAACAGGAACAAAGATCCTATGACTGAGCCCTAAGGTACCCTACTTGTGATATTAATCCAGTTTGACTGAACTCCATTTATATCAACCCTCTGCTCTCTTCCATCCAGCCACTCTTCTATCTAATTAGCTAACTTATCCCCACACCTAAAAAGATAATTTTTTACAAGCCTTTTATGTGGCACCTTGTCAAAGGCTTTCTGAAAATCCAGATACACCAAATCTATGCCCTTATTCTCATCTACATAAACAGTAACCTTTTCAAAGAATGTCAAAAGATTTGTAAGGCAAAAT